ATTTAAAAATTCGTTAATCGCACTGCGTAAAGATCTGAAAACCCTTACATATATCTACACATACAAATTACGAGTGACAGATTTCTAATTATTACAGTTTATTTCCAATGAGGAGACCGAATTTTTGCCAACGCCTAATGCATTTTCCAATATTACATTTACTATTTCCCATGAATTTAGAAAGTCTTCGTTTTGCGCTGAAAAAGTTATACCCAAAAAACGTGCAAAATTGGTTACCTTTGTGACACGTCAAAATTGTTATTTGAATTACTTTGATTGCTTATAAAAATTAAAATGACATTATTACAACAAAAAAAATTAAATAAGCTACAAGAACTCGTCACATTTGTCATCAAAATGAGCCAAGTTGTTTATAAAAAGTAAAAATACATTAATAAAATTAGGGTGAGTGACACAAAAGCACACGGTTCCGGAGATTTGCCCGTATGCCACCCTGTGTTTGTACCGAAGAACCAAGATTGATTGATAGGTTCGTTTTATTAGAGTCTTGCCAAACAACCATCAGCTGTTCAACACAAAATGTAAACAAACAAACAAATGCAACAACAATTTCAAGGAACAAGCAACGCACGCCTATTCTTTTCTCGACAACTGGTCATCGTACAATTTGAAGACGGATCGCATATAAGTAAAAATCCCCTGTATTTTGGTTATTCAAAACGAAAGGAAATAAGAAATAATTAAAGGTGGCACGGTGTTGCTTCTAAGGTGTATTAAACAAGGTGTGGTAGACAACTCGGGTAGGCTCTCCTTTAAGGAACTATTACTTATGCAAAAAAATATAAACAGCGACTTAAAATTCATAAAAAATTGTTTCAATTTGACTTGGTTCTTCTGAGAGCAATATCAAATTCAACCACACTTTGTTGAATACATACTTGAAAAAATGTAGCTTACATGTGAAATAGAAGCATATTTTTTGTGCACTATGGTTATTTGTATGTATAAAGCACATTTAACTGATGAAAACCTAAATTGTTTTTAAATTCGATGTTTGCATAAAGATCGTAGTAGTTTTATTTTAATTTTTAGCCCTTTTTCAGTTTTTGCACCACCAAATAGCACATAAAATACTTATTCACGTAGATATCTTAATATTTCCTTCAATATTTCGTTTAAAATGCCAAATATATTAGAATTTACATAAGAAATTCTGCTACTAATTATCTACTTTGCGTACTTTTCTACTACCATTTTCGCACCAAGGGATTTCATTCTTCCCCTTTCTCCGTCCTTCGTAAATGTAAGGGAGTGTCAAACCGCGGCTGTCAATAATTTTTAGACATTTTATTAAAGTGAAATTTATTTAGCGGCGGTTGGTTGGTTGGGAGTAAATTGACAAATTCAACGGAAATGGCGCAACGGAAATTCCACGAGGAAGTTGCACACGGAAATGATTAGAGGCTGAACCAAGTGCTTCTTAAGTGTATGCATATAGAATTAATTTAACAAAAACTTGCTAATAAAAGGTTAAAGAGTAACACTTAGAAAAAGACTAATACAAGAATGGAAGTAAAGGTAAGTACGTGCATAGATAACGAAAAGGATAAACGCAAAATTAAAAAGAAACACAAAAACAAAGATACGTAAAGATAAAGTCAAAAAATAAGATCAAGGTAAATTTAAACACTTTACTTATTTAAGGCCAAAGATGAAGGGGAATATGTAGATGAAGAAAATGATAAACATAAAAGTAAAAACAAAGATAAATATAAAGAAAAAGTTGGAGATGAGGGCCCCGATAAAAGTAAAGATGAAGATATAGGAAGAAAGATTAAAATAAAGATAATTATAGAGAAAAGGATGTATGTAGATATACATAGATACAGAGACTGAATCCGGGAACTATTTCGGGATTTTAAAAATGTTCGGTATTCTCGGAATTTACCGATATACTAATAGATATTTTTATCCTTTTTTATCAAAATTGTCATCAAATTTGTTATCGATATTTTTGGATCTTATCAATTACTATCGATATTTTAGGAACTTTTCGATTACTATCGATATTTTTATCGATATGGTTATCTATTTAGCTACCGATATTGTTACCGAAGATGTTATCGATATTTTAATCGATTTTGTTATCGATATTTATATCGATATATTTTATGGATTTTCTTATCGATATTTTTCTCACAATTTTTATCGGTGTTTTTATCGATTTTGTTATCGACATTTTAATGGATTTTGTTATCGATTTTGCTATCGATATTTATATCGAACTAGTTACCGATATTTTTATCGGTTTTGTTATCGATATTTTGATGGATGTTACGATCGATTTTGTTATCGATACAGTATAAAGATACAAATATAGCTAAAAGAAACAAAATAACAAATGTAATTAGAACGAACATAAAGAGATAGAAAAAAGAAAAAAATATAAAAGCAGATGACAATATGTATGTACATACATTGGTTATGTGATACATACGTATGTAGCGCAAGTTTCACTTCTCGAGCACTCACTTTTTATTGAATCACGTAGATGCGCCTTGTACAGTTCTACAAGTAACGAAAATCTTCTTACCGTTTTTTCTGGGAGGCTGTAGGTATATGGCATAGCAGTGTTGATAATTTCGATACCTTGTACTTTTTTGATACAATTTCAAGTGTTTTCTACTTTCCTACCACCCAGCCCTTTTAAGTACAATTTCATCTGCCAAAATTTGGTGGCACCGATTTGTTAATTTTTTAGATGATTTAGAATCGCATAAAATTTATATACGGGACGTGTTTTGTGGGGCTGAAGCAGAATTGTTCATTTTTCAGAACAAAGAAAAACTAAAAGAGGAAGGTAATCTAAATTTTAGAAAAAACGTAAACAATTTTATGTAAACTTTTGTCGTACTCCGAAGAAAAAAATTAATTTTAATAACAAAGTTCTATTATGGGCTTTAAGACTGAACCTTTCTGTATTATGAGGCATATGCAAAGCATTGTTCCACTAATTGGTTCAGAAGTGTGAAATTACTACAATAGAAGACAGCAACACAGAATTTAGGGGCTTGGCTGAACACCTTGAGTTAAAAAATTTTATCAACCTCCATATTTCAGAGTTTTGAAGAAGTAAGAATCTCCAATAAATGATCCACTATTTTCAAACATATACAACATATCTCAAGGCGTCTTGTCGATTGAAAGGATCCTCTCCATAGAAAAATTAATAATAATAAAATGGCGAAATAGACTTAAAAGTACATATAAACAATTTCCTCTTTAATACGAACTAGAGATTATCTTAATTCTAGTGATAATATAACACTAACAAGAACAATCAGGCGCATTTGAAACTATGAGTAATTATTGTAGGACCAGTAATTTTTTGGAACTTACTGGAACTTTGTAAATTTAAAATATCCGGACATTGTAAATATTTATGCTTATAAGCATTTATGTACTTACATACATGCACTTAAAATCGTAATATCTGATGTAAGTGTGAACTTTATGTTAATAAAATAAAGGTAATATCGTCTATAAAATTTTAGCAACTATTTGTACTTTATTGGAACAATAATCAACCTTATCGCCGACTCCATGAGAACAAATCGTTCCCATAACTTAACAGGTAAAACAAATTGTTTTTTATTTTTGTTTTGCTTTATAGTTTTCGGGAATATTTGTTCACATGGAATTTGTAAAAAGGCCGAAATGAATACAATTTGTACACAATAACTAAATATTAGAAAAATAAAAGGGTTCAAAATTTAGTGATAAAAAGTACATTTGTAATTACATTTTCATACGAAAATGGAAATCGCAATTATCAACACTGGGCTGTAGGTGTGATATTGGTTAGTGTATTCGTGTTTTTGGTTCAGTGTATTGGTGTATTTGGAATAAATTGTAATAGAAATGGATAAAATTGTAATAGAAATGGATGAAATTGTAATAGAAATTGATGAAGTTGTAATCGAATTGGATGAAATTGTAATAGAAAAGGAAGAAATTGTAAAAGATAACACCAAATGCCAAAAAAATAGGTACTCTCAGCTGTAGGTGTTTTTTGGCAAACAGCTGATTATGTTTTTACGTAGGAAGCTGTGCGATGGTTTTAGTATAACATAGAACATTCAAAGGTAAATACCAAATTCCCTATTTTTAAAGATCATAGCGCCACACCATTTGTAGTACCTCTCTTCTCCCCTCACTATTGTCCCATCACATCACTTCAGTTTTGCAATTTAAGGTGGCAGTGTTCCTCCACGGCCCGCCTACCTGTAAATTTGCCCTTTACCCAACGACCGCACCCCACACGGAACACCGCACCGCACAACAACCAACAGTTCTGCTGCGGTCATAACAACAACAGCAATAAACAGTGTGTGCAAAAATTGGCGAAGAAAACAAGAATAGAAACAAGAAAACGGAACACAATAAATTTGCGAATAATCGGACGAAATGATAAGCACCAACAAACACCAGACGACGGACAGACAGACGAACACAAGAGCAGCGATTGACGTACGCACATACACACGCACACATACAAATTCTTATGAAGCTAATGAAATCAGACGAATGTAGGAATAAAATATATTATTAAACTACGACGTATTGCAAAAAATAAAACGAATTAAAACGCAATGAAATTTAAACAGTGCTGCCAGGCTGCTAAAACACGTTTGAGACTTTGTGATCCTCACACCATCAATTCCAGCTTGTATAGGTACAATTCTAATCCTCAAACTTCGTTACGCACTCTAGTAAATATACAATTTCGGTACCCTCCAGAAGATGTGCGCCGTCATTTTCTTGTGCGAGCACATGATCTGGAAGCTTTAACCTGAGGCAAAGGTCCAAGGCTGGCGGTTTGGTTACCGCATAAATGCAACCCTGTGATTGGTTACTGAGTAGCTGGCGGGGCTTTACTGTGCTATCGCCAATCCCCACAAATAAAGAGCATATACATACATATATGTAAATAGAGATAAATGAACTTAATTAAATATATAAAACATAATTATAGTTACCAGAATGACACGATGATGATATCGTTTTGCATATGTTTCACACTCGCTTAATCTTGCTCTTTTTTTAGTTCACGTTTACTACTTTTAAAAACTATACGAGACACACACAAACAAACCACGGTGTATGTGACCCAGCCAACGATTGTGATTACGACGAGTCATTTGATTTTTACAATTCTCGTATTCTCCTTCCTTCTTTACCCTTCCGCTTACAAATATTGCACCATATTTTGAAATGCCATAAAAGTTTCTTTTTCTTTTTGTTACAATTTCAATATATTAATAGACACATGCACTGGAACGTAAAAAATAATGTATTAGTAGGTACAGCTTTTTGTTTTATACAATGTGTACTTTTTTCGTTCTTCTTAGTGGGACGCCATTTAACTTTCCATCGAATTCGACGCCATTTTAGACAAACACAATCGTAGGTCACCCAGCCAAGGCATTGAGGACATTGGTAACCATCAAATGCATATTATTTTCACACAATTTTATATCAAATTACACTGACACACTCTTGCTTGTACAACTCTTTATGTAATTTTCAAAACACACTGCGTTTTTCACCTTTTTTAGTGTTAAATTTTACTTTTCTCCACGGCGCGATCTTTGTGTGTGACTGCTTACGCATACACACCGTTTGACAGTAACTATTAGTGATGTGCTGAATTGTCGGTACCCTAAACGTCAAACAAAGTTCGGTACCCAATACTGCCTTCTGGGTACCCGATACCGTTTCGATACATGGAAACCTTCGCCACAATATAGCTCCGGATAGCCCCAACCATATTGCCAAATTTTCCGTCAAACAAAGCAAATAGAGCGGATCATAAATTGATCTCTATCAGGATCATATCCTTGTTGTTGCATTAGCGTGCAATTTATTGTCCCTATCATGGCCCAAGAAAACGTAGCTAATATTGTGGCGAAGGTTTTCATATATCTGCTTAAATGTAGAATACCTACAATTCCGAAATTAAAAAAAAAAATTATATTAGGATCGATAAGGGTCTTAGTCGTGATCATAACGGTATCATTTTTTTGTGCGAGTAATTACTGGTGTTATTCAGGTTCGAAGTACATACGTAGAAGCTGGGAACAACTGCACTAAGTGCAGAATACGTACATTTCTCT